ATAATTCTACTCTTTTCCTCCTTTTTGCTTCCATCTTTATATTTTAGGCATATGCTACATTGAATGGAACATGCTATTTTGGGGTCAGATAGACCAGTTCTGATACTTACTAGGTGTTTTTTTATCCTGTTCTATGCATCCTGAAACATACCTTCAAGGAGAAAATGAGATAGTTTATTAACAAATAAGTAATACATATTTGACAGATAGTTTATTAACAAATAAGTAATACATATTTGTCAATTTCTTTCTTTACTTTGCCCCTTGGAAAAGGAGGAAATCTAATAATTTACTGATATTACAAATAGTAACCAACATCTGTTGCCAATTCTGTATAACTGATACATTACTTTAAACTAAAAGAAACACTAAAGTATAGAAAGCCATCAAACTTTTCAGAAGCAGAAATGGTTAACTAATATTAGCTCAATTAGTACCTCTGTCACCACAGAGTAACTATCCTTCTAACACTTTGGAAGTAGGTTTTATTATTCTTATTTCATCTTTACATCAATCCAATCGAGTAGGTATTATCACCGATTGAACAGATGAGGAAATGAAAGAAGAGAATAATTTGCAGGAAATAAGTAATTTGTGTGAAGTTGTATAGCTGGTAAATAGAAGGCACAAAATTTGAACCCAGGTTATTCAGACTTTGAATTTTTTTTTTTGCTATAGGGCTCATGAACTCACCAGAGAGAGAGGGAGATAGAGAGACAGAAAATGAGAAATCAACCTCCAGAGGAGATGGCCATCCCACAATCCCTTATCCTCATCCTCCTCTCAAGATTTTGGGCATGCATGCATAAGAGCCAGGTGTGAGTTCTTTTTTTTTTTTTAAATTTTTTAAGTTTAAATTTATTTGTTTACTTTCATTCACTGTACATCATTACAGCATATAAAATGAGATTTTCCATCCAGAGTACACTGTATACTGTCTCAATCAAGCACATCAACATACATGTTATTGTCAACAAATAAATTTTCATTTTTTGTTTCCTGTATGTTTTGCTTTTCTTCCCCCCATCCTTGATTCCCTATCTCTTACCCTCTGCCATCTCCCACTCTCTTCCCACACTGTCTCTGGTATCTATGTTTACTTTCTATACTGTTCCCCCCCCCATTTTTTATGGAATTACTAAAGATCTTAATTAATCTAAATCTTTTCATAGCAAACACAGCTGATATATACATTTCCATGAACACAAGTCTAACTTTAGGCATCCTATAAAGTAGCACCTAGCTGGGGCTATATATCTTATTGTGGTCATCGAATGGATTTTTTTTTTTTCTGAAACTTTTTTTTTGTAACTTAATTTACATTCTTTTCTTAAGCATCATCACAACATACAAAATGTAATTTCCCATCCAGAATATACTGCATAGTGGCTTAATCACGCATATTTTTATCAAAAATTGTCCATTTATAGTTCCTTGAATTTTTTACCCCTCTTTCTGACCTTCTGTTCTTTCCCACCCTCTTCTCCCACTCTCTCTGGTGTCTACAATTGTCTTCCATTCCTTTTCCACCCACATTGTATTGATCACACAATTTCTTAAATAATCCAACTACTTTCAATGGTAAGTTCACATGATACTATTAAGAAAACCAGTTTTAACTTAAATCA